AGAAAGAGGAGGTACATCTGAACTGACCAGTGTCATCCTAATTACATGAGAAAGCAGTTATTTTATGCATTAGCACGAGTTACGCCGTCCCAGCCGCGGTACCTGTATCACTATACACAAAATCTCAGTAAACACCCCAAAAGAGCGTGAAGGAATCACATCTATACTAAGACAAAAGTTGTGATAGGACATATACACATTTCTAAACAAAGCCATGAGAATACTAAGTGGTAAAAAGAAGAGGCATAATAAATTAGTGATGGAGCATTTGATAGAACTGAGAGATGAAGTGGATATCAGCGAGCATAACGGTCACCCGGTGAGCGTGAGCGGCCGCCCTTGCGGCAAATGAGAAGAAGTCCACAATGAAAGCCTCAGCCGCCTCTTGAAGGCAATCGAGCGCCATGGCTTGCCACCGAAATTCAAGCGCGTTCTCAAAGTCCATCCTCTGAGCCATAGAGCGCACAACTCTCGCAAACGAGGCGCGCCTACAATCATACGAACAATAAAATAATTGTGGCCACCATATCGACCACCTACTCTATTTAACGTTAGAACATACAGCCCCATCCCATTCGGCCCATCAAAACAATAAGCAAACTAGTAAAGCAGCAGTCGCAGACCGACGGCTCCGTTTAATGCGATAACAAGTCCAATACAAAGAAAAAGTTTGCAGGACAATAACGAAAAACCTTCGTCAAAACGAAAAACATTGTAGCACACGTGGTACGAGCGTCTAGCTTTCACCACGAGGAATCTTAGCGTAAACAAGAATATACCAGTTGCTACCAGCCTCTCGGAGCTGTTTAGTGGAGACGAAAGGCATAGTTTAAACGTAAATAGCCTGAAAATATACCGGATAAGGGGATCGGTAGTCCTTTGAAGGTATCGAATCTCGGCCGCAATGATTCTAGCTACATTCCTTCGCTTCTTGCGCCTAACATTACTATTGTTGGCGACAGTAGCGCTGTTGTTGACGTTGGAAACGTTAGTCGCCCGAGCGTTCCGACCACCAGCCAATGAAGATCTCGCGGCAGAAAACAGAACCTCCGTTCCAGTTTCTGTAAAGTACAAAAATTAAGCCACTGGCATCATTTAAAGAGTTAAGTTAAGGCACGAACCCTTCCTATGCTGAGGCAATCGTTCGCGCTTGCGACGAGATCGTGCGGAAATGTGGGAAGCATCCAGATCCGATCTTAAAAATATTTCATATTTAACCCCTCAACGAGTCTCATAACAAGAAAATAGCATACGCATGGTTCAACTAACCCAGGACCAACAGCCAAATTTGACGGCGTACTAGTGGCTGCGGGAGTGAATCGACTTCTAAACCCATCCATTTTCAATTTTCCCAGAGTTGACCTTCCCTCACCCTACCCTTTGCTCACTTGTAAGTTCATTGAAACAACGCCAACAACTTTCAAATTAAAGTAAGTTTTTAACAATATTTTAAATCCAAACATTCAAATTTGTCACAACAATTATTACTGCTTAAAGTATTCAAAGTCACCGAACCCCTTTTTTGTCGCAAATAACCAGGGAAATTAAAATGCCGTAACAAAGAAAATTATGCATAACTATAAATTTAAGCTAAGTTTTTTTAATATG